CAACACGTGCCCCTATCCCAGACCCAGGTTCAAGGTGGGCAGCCCCCTGGTGCTCCTACAGCACCCTTGGGGCACTGGCTGACATCCCCAAGGCGTTCATCACTCTCAGGTAGAGCTGCCTGTTTAAGGTCCGCATTTTTCAGACCTCTTGAATTCTGCTGGTCCTATTTTCCCCTTTCACCTCCAGCATACCATGTTATTTATCGTACATGTACACATTAGCTATCTCCCTCAATTAGAAGGTATGCTCCTCGGGGTGCCTGGGGGGGGGCGGGGTTCAGTCGGTTGAGCATCAGACTCTTGGTTTCAGCTCAGGTCATGATCTTATGGTTCAGGAGTTCGAGCCCCACGCTGGGCTCCATGCTGGGATTCTCTCTCTTCCTCTCTCTCTCTCTGCCCCTGTCCCGCTTGTGTTTCCATTACCACCCAAAATAAATAAATTAAAAAAAAAAAAAAAGAAAGTAAGCTCAAGCGTACCATTCGTTTGTTCTGTTCAGTGAAACAGCCAAGAACAGCACCAGGCTGGTCGAAGCAGCTCAGGGGTGCTTGCTGAATAAAAGAGTGAATCATTTCCTTCGCCAGGTTTATCTGCCTCTTGAGAGCAGGACCTATCTTAACCACAGAACCCAGCATGGTAGACAGACTAACGCGCCCCCACCTCAAAGAGGTCCATGCCCTAATCCCCAGAATTGAAGAATGTTACCTTGCAGGACAAAGGGGACTTTGCAGATGTGATTAAGTTAAGGGCCTTGAGATAGGGAGATTATCCCGGATTATCTGGGAGGACCTAATGTAATCACGAGGGTCCTTATGAGACGGAGGCAGGAGGGCCTGACTGAGCGAAAGCAACGAGGCGAGAAAGCAGAGGCCAGAGCGATGGGGTGTGAGAAGGCTCGCTCTGCCCTCGCTGGCCCTGTAGGTGGAGGAAGGGAGCCTCAGGTCGGGGATGCCGGGGCCTCTCGATGCTGGAAAAGGCAAGAGAGGGAATCCTTCCCAGGAGGAACGCAGCTGTCGAAGCCTTCATTCTGGCCCAGTGAAATCCATTTTAGACTTCTGACATCCAGAATTATTCGGTAATACATTTGTGCAGTCTGAAGCCACTCACTCGGGGGCCATTTGTCGCAGCAGCAGCCAGAGGAGCGAGGGAACCATGATGCCGCACACGGTGACGAGTGCACCGCAGATGGGCCGTCTGCTAAGCGGATGCTGTACATCAGTACATAAAATGTTAGCTTTCAGTCTCGAACATACATTTTGATCCAGAAAAACAGCAAAGGGGCATTTAAGCCGTGAGCCACAGAGGTGGTGGTGGTGCATCTGTTTTTTCTTTAAGTAACTGACTCAGAGATGCTTATACTAATATTTCCTGTGCTGGCAGGTCTCACCCTTCATCTACTGAAGGCAGTTTTATTAATCAAAGATAAATTTCCTCCTCATAAAACCCTAAATCAAGATTTAACAAAAGGCGGGGGGGCGGGGGGGGAGAAACCAATTTATTTATCGAAAGCTGTCTGGTCTTCACAAATGCAATTAGTTGCACTAAAAGCTCTCGAGCGTCTCCCCGGGCCCGGCTGGTGCGGTATGCGTAAGGACTCGTCCTCCTGAACACTTCGAGACACTCGATCCCCGCGAATCTGTTTCTAATGCTGACACTTGAGAAAAAAGATGTGACACGAAATCGTTGAGGACATGTTTCTGTGTCCAACTGAAAATTTAAACGGTCTGAATTATGGGCGAAGTCTTTTCCATGTCTCATTTAAGAACAAGAAGAAAGCAACCCAAGAAACCATTTTTTCTTAGCTCTTTGCTTCCAATCACCCCCAGCCTACCCACCAAGCCTGCTGGTATTTTCAACCCAGAAACTGAAAACCCAAAAAGACTGGAAATTAACCACTTTCAATGATCACTGATTCACTTTCATATAGAAAAGATCCTTTCTGGGGCGCCTGGGTGGCTAGGTCGGTTAGGTGTCCAACTTTGGCTCAGGTCATGATCTCATAGTTCGTGGGTTTGAGCCCCGCATCGGGGTCTGTGCTGACAGCTCAGAGCCTGGAGCCTGCTTCAGATTCTGTGTCTCCCTCTCTTTCAGCCTCTCTCTCTCTCTCTCTCTCTCTCTCTCTCTCTCAAAAATAAATAAATGTTAAAAAAAATTGTAAAGAAAACATCGTTTCAATCAACATTAATAAACTGGGAAAAAATAAAATTAGGAACAGAGCATATAACTATTTTTTCATGTGGGAAAGAAATCTTGAGATTTTTAAACCTCCAGAATCCATTCACACACAACCTGGAATGTTTTTGGCCCTGTGGAAGATATGTATAAAACTGGAAAGCTGAAAAAGATCTCAAAATAAGCTATCCAGTAGCAACTTGAAAACCTTTTTTTCTGCAACACATGCCATGCACTTTACTGACAAGGTGATCTTGCTTTTTCCTTCCCAGTACTGTTCTACGGGATATAATTCAAAAGGTGAAAACCAGAGCTCCCTCCATCCCACTTAACAAACATTTACTGAGCAACTACTATGTGTGTTATTATTTTGGGTTGCAGCAGGACGAAATCCCCAGCACCGAGGTCCCCTGCACGGGGAAGGAAGGGCAATATTTTACGTCAACAGGTACGCTAGAGTCCACACCGCAGTGGTGCAAGCATACTCGTCATGCAGAGGTAATTCCTCTGCTGAAAAATCCTAGACCAGAGTTTCAGAAAAGAAGAAAAATATCACACCAATTTCTCTAATAAAAACAGCCATCTCGACATTTCAATGATAGGATAACTGAGTTCAGAGGGCATTCTTTAACACACTGCAACCCCTTTGCCAAAGGAAGGGGTGTTTGCTGTCCGCTCACCGGTCCATCTGTCCATCCTTCACCCATTAAGTAGCAACAGCCCCAGCCAGCGAGGTCCCAGGCCAGACAGGCAGGATGGTGACGAGGACACACACTCTTGGGGAACATTTCCAAATGCAGCTGCTCCAGACTGTGCAGGACACGGATGCTCCTCCTCGCCCTGAGTTTCCAAAAAACCACAAGATTCTCTAAAGGATGCCACTGTTTTCTGCCACCAAAACACACTGTACCTGTTTACACTGGTCGGACTGGAGGCTTATCTGCCTCATCCCATGTGGTGCTGGCAGCCTGATGCCTTGAAGCACATCTAAGCTGTGTCCTGCACTGCCTGCGACGCTCAATACATCACGTCCCGGAGCAGTGGCAAATCACCGTCGGGAGCACCTTCCTATAATCCTCAAAAGAATTTGGCAGGGAAACCGGCAAGACCCTTCCTGAAGCGCCAGGCCCAGCTGAGGACTCCACAGGTCACGGTGCGGAAAACCAGTTTCAGAAAAGCTACAGTAAGACAGTCGGAAGACAGCGACCTCGTAAATACAAAAGGAAGCTAATAGAGTGGTTAGCAACAAGGCGTGCGGGTCTGTTCCCAACCCACCGGCGCCAGGGCCCTGCAGACCGAAACGCCACATCCCACTGCGCGACTTCTGTGCAGGATCTTGTTGAGAGAAACCACACCAACTGAGAAGCGTTTCTGGGATACGCGGTCCACACGTTCACCTAGACATGCTGAGTTTTGTCTGCAGGTCAGGAAAGCCGGAGTCGAACCAGAACGTACTAACTCCACAGAGAATTCTGTCACCTGGGTTTCATGCTTTGCATTGTGGCCTGGGCACACTTGGGGGCACCGGCGTGGAGACAGCTCGGGAAGCGTACTTCCCATGTATCAAAGGGAGGTTGCTGGGGGCACGGCACCCACGGGTCCTCATGTCAGAGCCGCACTAAGAAACATCTTTATTTGTGCCAAGAAAACCCACTCCTTCTACGAAGTTCGTGTTGCCGGTTTCCTGCTTTACCCTTCTACGATTCAGTACCAAATTCACCGTCTAACATGCATACCTCCCATAACACACGCCTCTCCCAGGGCTCTGCTCAAACATCAGCAATCTAGCCGACAGTCCTTTCTAAACAGCCCCCAAGCACACTCCTGGGCCCACAGGCCTCCTCCTCCTTTCACTTTCCTCCTCCGCACTCATTCGCCATCTGACACCCTTTGTGTCTCACTCGTTCATGTGTGTCTTACTTTTTTCCCACGAGAGAGTAACCATGTTGATGGCAGGCACTGGTTCTCTCCTGGAACCCCAGGCATGCTGCCCAGTGAGAGGGGGTGTTTACGAAGTACCTCCTGAACGAACGGCTACAGGAACAGTTAACTGCATAAAACTCTACAGTGTGCATTTCACCTTACTCCGTGAACTTGAACTTTGCCCGAGTCTGATGTGTTTACTGTTGTTTTGCTTTTTTTAAGTGCTTGGGTAAGCTGGACTAAATCTTTTGTAAAACAAAGCAAGAGGCAGTAGAGAGATAGGTACAGACAGAACAAAAGGATGATCTAATTCCCAAACACACTGCATTTTAACAGCTGGTAAGGTCTCTGGGGGTGGAAATGAGCCAAACTGTTTAACTGTCAATTAAGGAGAGTCACCGTGATTCAAAACCGGATGATTTCCTCCCCATTGGCTCAGCCATCGGCCAGGTGACGCTGCATATCTAATACGGCCAGCCCGTGGTCCGTGGGGTCCACGGGGAAGCCCTCCTGGCTTCTCTGCCTGTCCCCACGGTCCCCACGGTCCCCACTCTACTCGCTGGTGCCTTTGGCACCGAGGGCTGCTTTTCGTGACAGATGTGTCCAAGTGTGTCCACATCTGCTCATTTTCACTCTGGGATTCTCTGAAGAGAAATAAATGAAGTTTCCATAATTTTAAAAACTGTATTATTCCTCTCCCCTAAAGCATACCTCCACACACGGAGCTCCTGAAGACACGAGCCCATAATAATCGGAGGCAGAGTAAGAAATGCGTGAGACTGAGCTCTCTCTCTTTCCAAACCCCACTGTAGGTAAATTAGGCCTTGAAAACCCACAGGGAAGGAGAGAGAGAGGGCATGTGGCGGTGTGAGGGGATGACACTTAAGAGGCAGGGGAGGGTCCTTACCTGTTTCACGACAGTCACTGTCCCTGGAGCCATGGCAACCACTGAGGCCACAGCGGTGGCATCATGGGCCTCGGTGCCCAGCTCGATGATCTGCTGGAGGATGTTCACAGCCGTGGGGTCAAGTCGGTCCCCTTACAAGGAAGAAACAAACAGGACAGCATTAAGCCCAGTGGCACTGGAGGGCACTGAGTGCAAAACCAGACCTTAACAGAGGCCATTCTTGGGTGGTGTCTTCTTCAGGGGAGGCATGGGTTCTCAGCAATCGCTCGCTCTAACAACAGAATAATCCATGTGGTATTTGATAGCTTTAAAGCACTTTCTATAAGAACATCTCAAAACCCCAAACGATCCTGTGGGGAGATGACATGGTGATGAGACACCCACATTTCGTGGATTGGTTACCTCTGCACAAGAAAGACAGGAGACTTGCCTGGGGTCACTGGGTCAGTCACAGCCCAAAGCCAGAGCTGAAGCCCAGATGCTCTGAATCCACACTTGGTGACACAAGCCTGCTTCTCCAAACAGACCCCTGAGAAGTCCCAGCCCGCACAGCAAACAGCAAACAGGGTCCCGTGAGCACACGCACAGCAGGTGGCCAAGAGAGCGTGCCAAATAAATCACACATGCTAGGACAGAACATCCCAGGATGTCTCAATTATTGAAACCGGTGGGCTTCAGAATGCCAAACCAGTTTAAGCTTGGGGTTCTATTTTAATCATCTCAGAAGATTGGAATCCGTACCATCAGGGCAGCTACGGAGTATAGACCCTGCCTGCTCTCACCATCTGCTTGGCCATCTGCGACTCTTCTGAACACGGCACTCTGACCCTGATCGCTAACTCACTAAAAGGGAAATTACCGCATGATCTCTGTGTTAGCATCATGTTACCAAGTCTCCGTGCGCGTCTGCATCCCCGTGGACCCGTTTTCCTTGGGCCACGGCCCAATGTGAGTCCGTCAGTAAGAGACGGAGGAGGGGAACGTGATGTGTGCGATGTGGAGGGCAGGCGCTGGCATGGGACTGGGACGATGACAGCGTTAGCGACTTGTATGTATTCACATTGCACCACCCTGGCGTTCCCCTACACACACACACACACACACACACACACACACACACACACACGCACACACGTGTGCATGCAAAGACACCAGCACAGACACACACAGATACACGTGCACACACACTCTCTGCTTAAGGGAAATGTGTCAACTGTGCCTTGCAGCCAGCCAGTCTGAACATCCAAAGACTAAACAAAACATTTACCCAAAAACCTTACTGAGCTAGAGTAAGGTTTAATTCCTCATGCGCTTGCTCCCTCAGTGACCATTTATCAAGCCTGTCACCAGGAGCGTGGCTCCCAGCAGGGAATCGGCCTCCATCTAACACTCTCTCCCCTCCTCCCGGGACTCACGGGCTCCTGAGACAGATTTGTAAGCAAATTATCACCACACCATGTTGGTCCCGTATTGGGAGGCAATCAGGGAACACAGCAGAAACGTCGCATGGGTCCCGAGCAGGCGACATATGATCTGAACACTGAAGGTGCAGGCAGGTGGCCAGAAAAACCATGCAGGGAACAGAGTTCACACAGGGCGGTGCACAGAGGAAGGCCGTGCCTGCACAGCCCATGCAGGACAGCAGGCACAGAGACAGGAGGCAGGCGACACAGGGCAGGGCACCAGGACCCAGAGCAGCCCAGCCTGGCTGCATGGGTGCAAAGTCTGAGCTTTAGTCCAAGTGCCAGGAAGAAACCCCAGAGAGGCTTTAGAAGGGGTGTGTGTGTGTGTGTGTGTGTGTGTGTGCGTGTATGTGTCAGGAATGACGACAGACAGGCCAAGGCCAGAGTTTGAACAACTGCTGAAGTCACTGAACACGAAGGAAGGAAGCACAGGTTCAGGCCGGGCCTCTGCTCTGGATGCCCCATTTAACAGCCAGGGCCGGGCCACCCTGTCCGCTCTCCTGAGTCCCCGCGAGCTCGGCGGCCCAGTGAGCACAGCCCCGAAGCAACAGCCCCAAGGAGTGTTCCGCACAGGCTTCCTACAACCTGCTCTTCAGGGCTTTAACAACTGGGAAAAAATGGCAATTTCCCATCCTGCCTCTACTTAATGCCTTCCTCCGAATGCAAATCGGGCTATGGTTACACATTAACTGGGGTTTGTGTGCTAGACAGGGCGCTAGGAAAACATCTCTAAGCTTCATGCCGCAATCACCACCAGGCTGGCAGAGTGGTTTGAACTTAAAACTGATCTGGCATTTCAGAGTGATGACTGTTGACACAGAAATCCTGCTTCGGGGCTTTTCAGGCGGCTGGGAAGCAGGCAGTGCTGGGCTCGGAGCTCCGCAGGGCGGCCCTGGCGAGGCCGCTGTTGCCCCTGGAGCTGGAACCAGCCCCCTGGGAGACAGGCCCACGAGGCAGCCAAGGATGGGACAGAAACCCAGACGGCAGGCCCACTCCAGGGCTCAGCCGGCCACTTACAGCAAAGCCCTCTTCTCACCGTACGTGCGGAGGCCTGGCCGCACGGCCGTCAAGTTCTGCCTCTGCTGAGCTTCCTGGGCTCCTATCAGGGGGCGGAGGCCTCCCAGTCTGACGGCGGGGGCCCCCTGCGGTCCAAATGGTGGGCCAAGGATGCTGAAGGGGACCGATTCACAGACACCGCTCCCTCACAGATTCACTCACTCCGCCTGCCTGCTGCAGACCAGCTGGAAGGCAGCTCGAAGGTGCGCAAGGGGACCGAGCGCGCACTCTCACCGCTCTCGGAAGTGTATCTCAGATCCTGGAGCGCCGCCACGGCTGCCTGCGTGCCCTGAACGTCCTCTTCGGCTTCTGTGATGTGCACGTACTGGGTGGAGGGCTCCTCGGGGGCTTCTGTTGCTGGCTAAACGAAAACAGATCATCTGAGTGATCCAGAAGGCCACCTGTTACTTACCCACAAGCCCCAGGGTAACGTACTGAGACCAAATCAATACGCACGAGGAGCCCCTGTGGCACCTCATGCACCTGGCGTCCCTGAGAAATCCGCTGTTCCAATAAAAACACACTTCCCAAAAAGGAAACTTCTCCTTGCAAATACCAAGACGATTTTATTATTTCATTTTATTTATTTTGTTTTATTTAACGTTTATTTATTCTTGAGAGAGAGAGAGAGAGAGAGAGAGAGAGAGAACGACCAAGCAGCGGAGGAACAGGGAAGAGAGAACCACAGAATCCGAAGCAGGCTCCCGGCTCTGAGCTGTCAGCACAGCGTCCAACGCAGGGCTCGAAATCATGAACCGTGAGCTCACCACCTAAACAGAAGTCAGACGCTAAACCGACTGAGCCACCCAGGTGACCCACCAAGACGCTGTGAAACCAGCTTTGGTGGAAAGCTTCCTGGTACACACTCTTGCCTTAGGGAACGGAGTGTGCTGTTCGTATTTAGAGATGAGACATGCGCGGAGAGTCTCGTACGTGCCGTTGTCTCCTCCCACTGCTGTCAGTGCTGCCGGAACCTGCCTGGGCCCGGGGCCTTGAGCCATCAGGCTGACGGAAGGAGGGCACAGCAGAGCTGCGGGTGGAAGGAAGGGGGCGGGAAACACCGTAACACGTGCTGGCACCCAGCGCTCAGGGAGCCTCGGCTATTCGGGCCACTCTCATTTTCATATGAAGGATACAATAAACAACAGACCACGGGAAATGTATCTGCAAAATCAGGAGTCGCGAGGGTGGGAGGGGCTGGAGTGACATTCACAGGTACCTTGTGCCCCAAGGAGAGAAGAGGAGGAACAGAATTTCCACAAGAAATCTGCATCAATAATGCTCTCTTTCTGGAAGAGGTGGGGAGTGTGGGTGAGCTAGAAGGCAGGAAACACGAACGGCACCAAGAAAGAACAAAAGGGAGGACCTCGCACAAAATTTATAGGAGCCGAAGTTCCCATGCTCCGTGAGCACTTCGTGGTAACTGATACAGCTCAGAATGCCAGGTGGTTATTCCTTTCCAGGCAAGGGGCCAAGTTCATGTCAGGGTTTCCAGCCTGACCTGTAGCAGACACCCAATAAATATGTGCTGAATGCACAGATGAACAAAATAAAAAAAGCCTACTTCCTTTACCGGTAAGCCACGTGTTGCCTGACAATGGCTGGATCCAAGCAACGTCTTAGCCTGTGAAAAACAGGACCCACACACGATGGCTTCTTTCTCATGGGGGGAGGGGGGTTCTGCGTCCCAACCACAAGTGGGGAGGACCCGACCAGTGTGGCATAGGCAGCTCGTCACCCCACAGGTAACCCAGCACCTGAGACCGGCTTCTTGGCTGCTCTTCTGTCTTGCTTCTGGAGTCGAGTACGTGGCTTTGTGCCAACGACCTGTGTCGGATTCGACGCTCTGCGTAACGTGTTGGCATCTGCAAGAAGCACGGCCTTCGGAGCAGAGGGCCATGACCACACGTACTTATGGAAGCACTAACTGACCAGGAGACATGGGTTTTAGGTCAAGAAATGGCATTCTGATCCCTATGAACAGAGGGCAAATCCTTGCGGCATGAACTTGAAACACCAGAGGACTATACGTTCTCCCCTCGATGAGGATGGGAGGTTGGCCACACATGCCACCACCCCCACCAATAACCACAGTAGCTGCCGAACCCTGGGGGCCTCCCAGGGACCAGATACAGACCTCAGCGTTTTGAATATCTTGTCTTTCAATCCTTTTGACCTGCTGGGTATTACCAGCCTCACTGCATGGATAAGGGCACTGAGGCCACTGAGATCAAGTAAATAACGGTTCACGGTCCAGCCATTTATTTATACGGGATGGCACCAGGGTTCAACATCAAGTCTGCCAGACTGCAGTGCACACACACCCTACGTGTTCTCACAGGAAATTTCAAACATACACAACAACAGAGGGATGAGCCTTCCGTGCACACGTCACCCAACGTGAATGATCATCAATTCACGACCGGCCTTATCTCCCCTCCGTGCCAACACACTCCACACTCTTCAACTGGATTATTTTGAAGCAAACGCAGGGGTCACAGCATGTTATCTACAAATATTTTAGAACGTATCCCTGGAACACGAAACTCTTTGAAGACATAAGCACAACGCCACTGGGACACTCCAACACCCAATGGTAAGTCCTTAACATGACCACACATCCAGGCCGTGTCCTCACCTCCCCAGTCGCCACATTTCTTAAAACTTACTCTTCAAACCAAATGTGAGTTACTGAATCCGTGGATTAGAACTGACTGACACGTCTCCTAAGACTTCAATTTCTAGGTTCTCCCTCCGTTCCAACTGCCCCCCCCCCCCCGCCACCACCATTTATAATTCTGTTGGGGGAAGCGGGCCATTTGTCTCCAGACTTTCCAATGGTCTGGACTTCGCTGACCACACCACCATGGAATCCCTGAATGTGCTCTTCTGTCCACCGTGTCTCCTGCCCGTTGGCAGATGTGGAAACTCAATCGGATACCGGTTCCCTTTGGGGCAGGAACGCTTCGAGGGTTGTGTTGTCCGCTTCCCGCAGGAGACACGTGATGCCTGGGTGTCTCTACTGCTTCTGTGATGTCAGTAGGCAGCGGTCGGCCACTTGCTGGATCCGTGACATCACGAGAGGATTGCAAAATGGTGATCTTGTCAATCTTCGTTTGTTAGCTGGAAAATTTATAAATAGGAGCTTCTCCTCATCAAATGTGTGGTTATGCTGAGGTATAGTTTGTTCAGAAAATGGTTAAAATAATTGGACTCTTGGCCTTTACTTACCAAAACAGAATTGATGCCCTAATATCCTATAAGGTGCCTGAGCGTCTGCCCCAGGATCAGTATACGCTGGATGTGCTTCGCTGTAGTTACTAAATACTAGCAAAAGCCTCAGAGTAACAGTATCAACCCTCCCCCAACAACAAAATAATTGAAAAGAGTACGTGTTTCTGCAGCTCTTTTCCCCCTAGCTTATGCCCCACAAGGGAGGAGCAAACTCCTACCTTAAAAGACTGCTGAATAGTTCCTCTGTGCAGCTATGCCATCGTTTTCATATACAGTTAGAAGCATTTATTTCCCTTTACTCTCAACGTTTAAGGTCTGCATTTTTTAAACGTTATTTTTTTTTAATATTATATAAAATACATCCACGGTTTCAGAATCAAATCTGCACAGGTGGATGTGCTAAGAGGAATCTGGCTGATTTCTTTATCCTCTCCATCTTGGTGTGTCCCTACCCTTCCACAAAAAATCCCCCCCTTTGTTTTGACTATTTTATTTTGAATTATTTTTGACTTCCAGAAGAGTTCCCATACACCTTTGCCCCAGCCTCCCCTCGCATTAACATCTGAAACAACCACAGGACAATTACCAAAGCCGACAAGTAACACTGGTATGGTAAATACTATGAACCGCAGACTTCAGGCAGTTTTTCTACAAGTTTTCTCCTTGGTGTCCCGGTTCTGTCCCAGGACCCAGTGCCGGATCACAGTCTCCTCCGACTGGTGACAGCTCTCCAGTCTCCCCTTGTCTTTCGTGACCATGATACTTTGAGGAGTACTGGTCAGGTGTATGACCATACACATCAGCAACATCATTTGGATACATGACAGTTGCTCATGATTGGATGGAGGCTGAGGCTTTTCTGAAGAATGCCGGGAGGCTTTTCTGAAGAATGAGTGTCCTTCTCATCATCACATCCGGGGGCACACGAGGTCACCATGACTCCTGAGGATGCTAACTTCCGGGTGCATGGTTAGCCCCGGGTCTGCCAGATGCCTCTACTGTACAGACACTACTTTTCCCTCTGTGATCTAGTAAATACTTGGGGGCAGAGATTCTGAGGCTATGTAGATAGTGTGTTTTTCCTTAAATTGTGTCTATTAGTTGTAGCATTCATGGATGGGTTTGTCTGCAGCAATGATTACTGCAGTGTTCCAAGGGGAATTCTACTTCCCTCATTCCTTCTACATGTATTGTTCAGAATTCTCCCGTGTGGAAGAAGTGCTCCTTCCCCACCATCCATTTATATCAGTATGGACTCACAGATATTATCTTATCTGTTGGGTTGTAGCACAACGCTACCATTGTTTGCTTTGTTATTCAAGTTGTTCCCACTCTGGCCATTGGTGGTCTCTTGTCCTTTGACATGCCTCCACCTTTCTGGGGGGTTGGGAAAGATGCAAGATGCTACTTTCCAGGACCACAAAATACTCTAGGATCAGCTTACATATTTTCTGCCTCAGCCCTGGAATCAACCACTTTTCAAAGGACCCTGGTTCCTTTTATTGGAGAATCCTATTAGAAACCAAGATCTAGGTCCCCATGTGCTCACGGCCACGGGGTGCCACTGCTTCTGGGCTCTCTCAGCACAAAAGGCTTCTAAGGAGCACAGGTATGTAAACTAGCTGTGTGTGGCCACATGTCTGGAATCGGCTCTGAATCTATCTGTTGGTGTGTATACAAACACATGCAATCTATTCATTTATCTGGACCTAAGATGTATAACAGGACTGCAATAAACAACCTTGTGCAGACAGACACCTTTTCTCTTTTTTGTCAGTATTACTTTCGGGTAGTTTTCTAGCAGTGGAATTGTTTAGTTAATGGATAAAGAAATGCACAAGTGATTTTACTAGATATTGCTAATTTCCCCTCCGTAGAGGTAGTAATATTTCGCATTCCCACCAGCAATGCGTGAGAGTGCATTTTCCCCTCAGCCTCTCCAACAGACAGGATGTCAAATTCTGGATTCTAATAGGTAAGAAATTCTCTCTCCAGTTTTTTTTTTTTTTTTTTTTTTTTTTTTTAGTTTTTAAAATTTATTTATTTTGAGAGAGAGCGCGCGAGAGAGCGAGCACAGGAGGAACAGAGAGGGAGGGAAAGAGAGAATATCCCAAGCAGGTTCCACGATGTCAGTACAGAGCCCGACGCAGAGCTCAAACCCACAGACTGTGAGATCATGACCTGAGCCGAAACCAAGAGTCAGACGCTTAACCGACTGAGCTGCCCAGGCGTCCTGTTCCAGTTTTTTTGTTTTTTTTTTTGTTTTTTTTTTTTTTCAACGTTTATTTATTTTTTTTTGGGACAGAGAGAGACAGAGCATGAATGGGGGAGGGGCAGAGAGAGAGGGAGACACAGAATCGGAAACAGGCTCCAGGCTCTGAGCCATCAGCCCAGAGCCCGACGCGGGGCTCGAACCCACGGACCGCGAGATCATGACCTGGCCGAAGTCGGACGCTTAACCGACTGCGCCACCCAGGCGCCCCCTGTTCCAGTTTTAATTAACATGCCTTATGTGTGAGATTGATCACATTTTCAGATATTGAAGGTCATTTGCATTTCTTTTTCTATGAACCTTTCTTATCTCTTGCCCATTTTCCTACTGGGTTGTTGATCACTATTTTTTAAAAAGATTTCATAATGTAAAAGCACTCGTCCTTTTTCTACGGTATGATTGAAAATATTTTCTTTCGTTGTTATCTGTCGGTCTCTTTGCCTTGTTCATGAGTTCTTTTCCATAAGTCTTTTTAAAATTTTTTTCATGTGGCCAATTGTTCTTAATCTCTCCCTGTAGTGAATCTGGATTCTGAGGCATAGTTAGGAAAGCCCTCCACACCCTGAACTTACAAATGAATTCATTCACTCAGGTTCTTCTTCTGGTATTCCTAAAATATCACCGTCTTTTTATTTTTTTTTTTTAACGTTTATTTATTATTGAGAGACAGAGAGAGACAGAGCATGAGCAGGGGAGGGGCAGAGAGAGAGGGAGACACAGAATCGGAAGCAGGCTCCAGGCTCCGAGCTGTCAGCACAGAGCCCCACGCAGGGTTAGAACTCACAAACTGTGAGATCATGACCTGAGCCGAAGTCGGACGCTTAACCGAGCCATGCAGGCGCCCCAAAATCTCACTGTTTTTACATTTAAATCTCAGATCTTTTTGCTCTTGCCTCTCTCTACATGCAAGCTATTCATTATTTTACGTTTATGGTTCGATCTGATGCTTATTGTGTGCAGTAGTCTTTCATTCACTCTTTTGGATTTTCCAAAAACAGAATCCTGTCATCTTCAGATACAGATAACTTGACTTCTTCTCTTCCAATTCTTTTTTTTTTTTTTTTTAATTTTTTTTTTTCAAACGTTTATTTATTTTTGGGACAGAGAGAGACAGAGCATGAACGGGGGAGGGGCAGAGAGAGAGGGAGACACAGAATCGGAAACAGGCTCCAGGCTCCGAGCCATCAGCCCAGAGCCCGACGCGGGGCTCGAACTCACGGACCGCGAGATCGTGACCTGGCTGAAGTCGGACGCTTAACCGACTGCGCCACCCAGGCGCCCCTTCTCTTCCAATTCTTAATGTCACCATTTACTTTGTCTTGCCCAACACACTGGCTGATGCATCCCAACTGACGTTAAAGACTTGGTGACCTAAGTCCCAGAGCTTCTGGGACATCCTTGTCTTCTTCCTGATTCAACCAAGAAACCCTCCAGTGTTTCCTCACCAAGTAAGAAGACACCGGCTTTGGGACTGAGATGCATGTATAGACTGTTTTTGTCTTAAGGATGTACCCATCCAATTGTACTTTATTGACTATTTTTAATCAGCAGAGGCTTGATTTCGTCAAGTGCCTTTTCTGAATATGTGAAGATAAGCATTTCATTTTTCTCCCTAGTTTTATTTTATGATGGATTATATTAAAAGATTCCCTCCTATCGAACTATCCTTCCCTTGCATTCTGGAATGTTTCACACATTGTCATGACGTATGATTTTTTTTCAAAGCCCTTACTCTTAACCCCTGGATACTCTGATGCTCCTCCAAAAAGTCCTTTGATAAGTGGTTCTCATGTGGGGGTGACTTTGACTTCCGGGGACATTGACAATGTCCGTGACGTTTTTGGTTGTCAAAACGGGGGATGCCACTGACATCTGGTGTGTGGAGGTCCATGATGCCACCAAACATCCTGACATGCACAGAACAGTCTCTATATACAAATGATGATACTGTGGAAGATCATAACGTCAGCAGTGCTGAGATCGGGAAACCCCGCATTAGGGAGAGACTGCAATAAGTCCGTGGTCGTGACACTTGGTACTTGAAAAGAGAGCTACTGGCTTTGAGAACACAGACGTGTTTCCAGCCAGTGACTGGTTCTAACACCGAGGGTAAAACAAAGATGGCGGGAGGGAGCACAGGCCTTCAGGAACAGGACAGTAGGGCCTAGATTCAGAAGATGGAGACCTTCCTGGTTCTCCTGGTGAGGACTCACGACATACTCCTTGCCTTGCGCTCTTTTTTCAGATGCAAAAGTTGAAACTCTGGATTGGTGAGTCACAGAAGTGAAAGTGCCAATGACACCAACACAGACATTCACAAAATGGTCTAAACTCAACTCCAGGCACAAATTTACATGCACAGCCCAGGTCTCACCCCTCAGGCAGGAGACGGGATTTGAAAAGACTTCCTAGCTTCCCGACCAGAAAACCCCATCCTCTGAGAAGGACCCATGCCTGCTCCATCTGTCATGTGCATCTGGAAATGTCAAGATCAATACCGTACTTTAAAAAGTTACCTCCCACTTGGGATCTCCTTCGTTTTCCACCAACTTCAGGCCATGCTTGTTCTTCAAGTGTCTGTTGAACTCCCACTTGGTGCCATACACAAAGCTGCACACAGGGCACTTCAAACCACCTGAAGGCACAGAGGAAAAAGGAGCTTTCGCAGCACATAAAAGGGCCCCAGTGCGCCTCCCTCCCGCCCCTCAACTCCAGGGAACACACTGTTTGTCTCCAGTACTTACATCCAGTCCCAGCTCCCCTCCGTACTAGAACAGAACAGCGACAGCACAGATGTTTTTCAGGGCAGACATTTCTAAAGCTTAATGTACTTCTTTTCATTTTCCAACGAGCATTTGCAGAAAGTCTAATATATACGTCATATTTTCGGTGCCGGAGTAACAGAATTCCTGTGGCCAAGTGAGTAGGTGGCCTCAACCATTCTTTCATTTTTGTTTTCATTTGAAAATAACAAGTAAGTTAGAAAACAAAAAGAACTGAAGGACAAGGCTGCTCTCCTCAACTGCCTTTGCCCCAAAACATGAACCAAGAGCCAGGCTCCTTCACACCAAAAGCTGAGCCATTGGTATAAATCCCCATTTGGATTTCCCAGTAAAGACCAAGTGAAACGCCGCTATAAAATCTTACACGTGTTGTGGGAGGCGTGGATGCTTTAAGAGCATGTACAGCTCTAGGTAAAAAGACAAACAACAGAAAAAACCCTCAGAGTGACACAAAAGACTATCTTTCTAAAATTCTATCAAGAGCAGCAACTAAATTAGTGACTGGACAAAAATCACTTTTCACAGGCTGTGAATTCAGAAGCAAACTCTAGGGTCGCCTGGGTGGTTCAGTCATGTAAGCGTCCGACTTCGGCTCAGCTCATGATCACACAGTTCGTGAGTCTAAGCCCCGCGCCGGGCTCTGCGCTGACAGCTCGGAGCCCGGAGCCTGCTTCGGATTCTGTGTCTCCCTCTCTCTCTACCCCTCCCCTGCTCACGCTCTGTCTCTCCGTCTCTCCCCAAAATAAACATTTTTTAAAAGTTTAAAAAAAAAGAAAAAAGAAGCA